CCCTCCCTCTCTCTCTCTCTCTCTCTCTCTTTCTTTCTTTCTTTCTTTCTTCCTTTTCTTACAATGTAGTCCTGGTTAGCCTGGAACTCACTATGTATACATGCTAGGCAGACCCTCTATCACTGAGCTACCCTAGCATTATTTCTAAACAATCAAGTTAATTTTGTTTCTTCTGCTCTGCTCACACATCATATAAACATTACTTTTTGAATGATGATCTGGAAAAAATATCCCAAGAATTATCTTTAAAAAGTAAGTAAAATTTAGCTATTGAAAAATTGGACATAGTTATTTCTTATAATTTTAATTTCTAAGATCTTTAAATGTCTCTGTTGTGGAACTCTGTCCTCTGGCCATTTTGTGACCATTGCCATCTTGAAATTAGAGCAAGACTGGGCTCATTAGCATATCTTGAGGAGTATGCTAATGTGGAGGGGGGAAGGTATAAGGGGTTGTGCACAAGACTCCACTCTCCCTAAAAGGTTAGCAATTGCTGAGGCAGTGGGCTTTTCCTTGGTTGTGTAGCTGTCCATAGGTTGCCCATGCTCCTATAGGTAACCACAGTTAGACCCGCTGGTTAGCAAGTTAGACTTGGGTGAAATCTTTTCTTCAGTCTGACTCTGGTGCCTTCTCTGAGTTGTATAGATATTTGTTCATGTCTCCCCAGGAAAAGTTAACACAACAACCTTATTTAACTATTTCTGTTTATAATATACTTATTAATACCCTCCCTTTCAAATCTCTGATAATATTTTTCTATATCTTCAAGGCAATTTTAAAGTCAGTTAAGTATTTTAGAGTAAGAAAGTGTTAAGAACATCTAGAGATGGAGTCTTACAGAGGTTTTTGGTTTATATGACACAGCAATCATACATACTGTTTTACACAGAGTAGACGCCTTTAAAAGCTGCTTGTGTTGAATTATATCAAGTATTACATCATATAATATTAATTAGAACTAGCTCAACTTTGAGCGAAAAATCAGAGCTATGTGTAAGAAAAGTGATGAGTCACATATTACATTCTAACTGAAAGTAACACCCTTGCCAGCCATGTTGATGTAAGTGAACGTTATTTCTCTGTCCAGTCCATAGATACTGGATAGCCCTTCTACCAGGCACTGAACTAGCTCTGAGCAGCAAAAGAAGGGCAAGGTAGGATCTTTCCCTGGAGGTCCTTCGCAGTCTAGTGGAGAGAAATGACCGGAAACAGTACAAAATCAGGTGGCCTGGACTTGGATGGGTCCAAATGCTCACTCTTTCTCACTGTTTTTCATTGCTGGAGCAGTAGGGTTGTTTTAGCAAGGTAAAGAGGCAGACCTTTTCAGTGTATCAGTTCACAGTGGAGGGGGTTCCTTTGCCTTGTAGAAAGATTCTGAAAGATTTAGCCTTTTGTCTAAACAGAAATCTTGGACCACTATTCCTGGAAACAGGACACTCAACAATAGAAACCCTGACCCTGGGGAGAAGCAAAGAGTAGGAAAGCCCAGCAAAGTGGGTAGGGTAGAGAAATGCAGAAAAGAAATGTCTGGATTCCACTTTGTAGGAAAAGTAGACAAGTCATCTGTGTTCACTACTGGCCTATGGTGGGGCTGTGCTCGCTTATCTGTTGGGAGCCTGCAGGACTGACTGCATTACTGTGGCACAGGTACTCTGGGAGGAAAGGAGGGAGTCCCTAGCTCTGGCTGCAGGGCAGTTGAGAGAACACAGGAGAGACAGATCTTCAGCAATCCACGAGTTCTTCAGCAAGACTCAGGCAAGCCTATGTCCAAAGAAGCTGACCCCACAGCAGGGCCTTCTTGTCAGTGACGATGGTCAATCACTATGATTTTTTTCACCTGGGACAGATTTGCGGCGAGGAAGCACAGCTCAGTGTTGAGCGAAAGAGTCTCCTCTGGGTGATGAGGAAAGAAAGAAAGGGCAGGCTGAGTGGTTTTCTTCAGGGAAACAGGCCCCAGGGGACAGAGATTTGTAATATTCGTCTTCCCCATCCAGAACTTTGATTTGGCTGCAACAAAGAAAAGAAGTTTTCAACAGAAAAAGTAAACAAATGCCATGATCACCACTGGTGCCGCTGAAGTTGGGGAGTGGTGGGAACAGGTCCCTGACCAGTCCTGACTCTCCCCGGATCCAGGGAGGCACCCGGGGTCTGATCCATGAAGCCTTTACCTCTGGGTCTAAAGTTGTGGTCATGTTGCTACTTGATTTCTATGGTTAAATTGCCTCTCTATCTGGTCTCCTCTAGAGAAAGTTCTCCCTTAACTTCTCTCAATTCTGAACTGTACCAACTATCTCATTACTTTTCTACCTGGTGATGCTAAAATGGACCAGGAACTCCCAGTCCCTGCTCTCTGTTGGGTGAAGTTCTCCTTGTATGTGTTAAGTCCTGGAGTAGGATAACATGGAGGAAGTGCCTATTTACACTTGGAAATGTGTTCTTACTTGTGGAGGAAGAATTTTATACAACCCAATATGTGTCCTCAACTATAAAGAAAAAAGTACAATTCTCTGGAATAGAGGAGAAATAACATTTGCCCTTAGGTGACAATTTCAGCCTTTCCGGACAGAACAGATGGAAGTTTTGTATACTTGCTACTGTGAAAAATAGTTTCCAATGTCATTAAAGATGGTGATATCCGGACTGAGTATTTTTAGAAGCCTCTCTGGAAAGTTTTGCATTTTCTGTGATATCACAAAGGACCCCTTCTGTTTACAGTTGCTGAGAACTAAGAAGACAGATATTTACCCAAGTTTTCTTGGCTTCCTCTTGCTCCCTTGATATTCTAGAGTTCCCTGTGGAGAGGGCCAAGAACACACAGTCAAAGCAAAGCAGCAAGTCGTTAATTTTTAATTCAAAGTGATTTTGTGTTGAATGCAAGCAGATGCTGATAATATCAGAAGTCACAGCATAATTTTTTTGATCAAAGGGCTCAAGTGAGCCTGATGAAGCATGCATCTTGCTCGTCTTTGATAAACCACATCAATTATTCACCGTGAAGGCAGACATCCTGACATGAAAGCAACAGATAAAGAGCCTAAGCACATGTTCACGAGGAGAGCAGGAGAGTGGGGGTGGGGCTGGAGGGGCTGGAACAGGTATTAATAACAGAATTATTAACTGGAAACAAAGCCGGCAAAACAGCTTTACGGCCACTTTGAACTCACATTTAACTGGTTATAGTACATGGTGTCCTCGGGGCTACTCAACATTTTGGGCTGCTGACATCTTCGGCGAGGTGCTCGCTGCTTCTGTGCAAGACCGTCTTCTGAACCTGCAGACATCAAAACTTCACTGTAAGCCATCCTGGATGTGGGGAAAATGAAGTGGAAAATGGCTCTCCTGGTACATGTACCCTGTGAAAGCCATGTCCCATTTTAATGAAGCTTGGCTACTTCTAGGTGAAATGTCATTTTATACACAAACACACACACACACACACATATACACATGAAGGAATTCCTAAGTGTCAGTGGGGCAGTCATCATGTGTAACTTGGCCTCATATTTTTGATCCAAATCAGCAGACCAGAGTGACAGGAAGCGCTTGTCCACACTGCAGAGGCCCAAGAGCTCATGGTCAGTCTCTGCCTAAGAGAGTACCTGGGGCAACAGAAACCTGTGAGGGGCAAGACAATCTGGGATCTCTCGCACCACATCTTCCAGTCAGAGTTCAAAGACATCTGGAACACACATCTTGGGGAGAGGAGATGAGAAGCAAAGCTTTTGGTGGGATACATTTTAGGGGAAAACAACTAGAGCTAGTATTTACTGCAGTGCTTGGAACAATGCCACCAATCCATGCGGTCTCTGGAGCTGATATAAAGGAGAAGGATGACTGCTTGATTTCATGGGGCAGGCTCTCCTGGTTAGCCTTGATTTCAGAATCGTGGACCAAGAGTACACCGGGGATTAGGAACCCACATAGCAGGTGAAGTCATGATTCATTTCCCGTCTGAGCTAATGATTTTTCTGGAATCTGCTGTCCTTTTGGTTGTATATCTGAATCAGGATTTGTAGTTCTAACTTCTTGTCACACACACACACACACACACACACACACACACACACACACACGCCTGCCAAAGAATATAGTCCTTAAATATCATAGTGTAGGGAAGAGGGTGTTTCCTGGACAGGGTGCTTATAATAAACAAAGTGTTCACAGAAAAGAGTCGGATGGGGGCTGGAGAGATGGCTCACTGGTTAAGAGCACTGGCTACACTTGCAGAGGACCCAGGATAGGTTCCCAGCGCCCACAAGGTGGCTAACAACCTTTTAAAACTCCAGTTCCAGGGGATTTGGAATGTTCTCTTCTGGCCTCCACAAGTACTACATGAATGTAGTGCACATACATATATGCAGGCAAGATATTCATACACATTAAATAATAAAAACAAAATAAGGAGTTGGAGGTTTGTATTTTAAGTCATATTTTAACTTCAATAGGGATTTCTACTTTTGAAGAAAATTATAGGGAATTTTCTTTTACATTTTGCATGTTCCTTCTTAAAGTTATAATTTATTTTAGTAGATTATAAAACATAAAAATTTGAACATTATTGGAGCACCATATGATGTTTCTATGAAGACATTATGTAATACTTCATTTGGGTCAAGCATATCATTTCAAATACTTAACACTTCTTTATGGAGGAAAACATTCAAATTCCTTTCTTGTAACTTTTTGAAATGCACAGTAGATTGCTGTGGTGTATAGTTGCGCTACTGTGTACCCATTGTACAACTGTACCCATTGATCAGCTGTCCCTCTCTTCTTCCTATGTCCCCTGGCCTCTGGTAGCCACCATGCTGCCTCTGTGAGATCAGCTTTTGTATATTCTACATATGAATGACAGTGTGTGGTGCTTTTCTTTCTGTGTCTGACTTGTTTTACTTGGCATAATGATACTTAGTTCCAACCATGTTGTTGTAAAGTACAGGCTCTCCTTCTCTGGCATGGCTGAGTAGTATATGGACCACATTTTCTTTATTTACCAGTTGATGGCCCCTTAGGTTGTTTTCATTTCTTGGATACTGTGAATAGTGTTGTCATGAATGTGGGAGTGTGGCTGTCTCTCTGATACACTGAGTTCATTTGGGTATGTGCCCTGAGGTAGAACTGCTATGATATATTAGCTCCATTTAAAAATTTATTTTTGTTTATTATTTGTGTGTGTGTGTGTATATGTGTGTGTGTGTGTGTGTGTGTGTGTGTGTGTGAGCACAGGTGCCAGCAGAGGCCAGAGGCATCAGATCCCCCCTGGAGCTGGAATTATAGGTGGTTCTAAACTGCCCAACATGGGTGCTGGGAACTGAACCCAGGTTCTCTGCAAGAGCAGCACATGCTCTTAACCGCTGAGCCATCTCTCCAGGTCTTTAAAAAAATTTTTTTGAAAAACCTACATTCTGTTTTCCACGATGGTTGTACAATTTGTATTTCTGCCAACAGTATGCAATGGTTCTCTCTTTTATTAAGATTTTAAAAATTTATTTATTATTTTTATTTTATGAGTGTATTGCCTGCATGTGAGTGCATCTGTGTCATGCAGTGCCGCGGAGGTCAGAAGAGGGCATCGGATTCCCCCTGAAACTGGAATTAAGGATGGTTCGTAGTCGCCATATGGATGCTGGGAATCGAACCCGGGTCCTCTGCAAGAGCAATCAGTGCTCTTAACTGCTGAGCCATCTCTCCAGCCCCTGCAATGTTTCTCTTTTCTCCACATCTGTACCATCACTTTTATCTTTTGTGTTTGTTTATTGTTGTTGTTTTGAGACGGTCCTCCTATGGCCCCAGCTGGCCTGGAACTTGCTATGTAGTACAGGCTGACCTCAATGTCACAGAGATCCATCTGCCTCTGCCTCCTGAGTGCTGGGATTAAAGGCCCATACCACCAGGCTCAGCATCTTTTGCCTTTTAAAGAACAGCCATTTGGGGAGAAATGGCTCAGTGATTAAAGTACTTGCTATGCAAGCAAGAGAACCTGCGTTTAGATCTCCAGAAGCCATGTAAAAATCCATGCATGACAGTGTGTGCCTGTAACTCCAGCCTTGGGGGCAGGGGTGGAGACAGGCAGATACTCGAAGCTCACTGGCCTGTCAGCCTAGCTGAATCAGTGAGCTTCAGGTTCAGTGACTGACCCTGTCTCAAAAAATGAAAGTGGAGAGCAATCAAGGCAGGACATCCAGTGTCAGCCTCAGGCCTCCACACATACACACACATGTGCATATACACCCATACACACACACAACACCACACATTACACACTACATACATACATACATACATACATACACACACACACACACACACACACACACAGAACAGTATTTTTGAGTTGCATTTCTCTGATGATTGGTGGCGTTGACCATCTTTTCATGTATCATTGGCCTTTCCTGTGTATTCTTTTGGAAAATATCTATTTAGATCTGCCACAGATTATTTTTTACATTTATTTATTTATCTGTGAGAGAGAGAGAGAGAGAGGCAGAGACAGAGAGACAGAGAGAGGCAGAGAGAGAGGTGCTGATGCCATGGCATGCATGTGGCGTTCAGAGGATGATATATGGGAGTCAGTTCTCTCCACCATGTAGGTCCTGGGGATAGAAATAAGGTTGTCAGTTTTGATGGTAGGTGCCTTTACCTGCTGAGTTAGCTCACTGGCCTTTTGAAAAGAAATAGGGGGACTGGAGAGATAGCTCAGTAGATAAGAGCACATACTACTCTTCCAGAGGACCCAAGTTCAGTTCCCAGCACCCATGTGGGGTGGCTTACAACCTTCTGTTAACTCCAGCTCCAGCGGATCTGACACCTCTGGCTTCCACAGGCACCCACATGCATGTGCACATACTCACAGACATGCACACACAGAGAAACAGACACATATGTAATTCAAAAATAAGTAAAAATTTAACATTTATTTTGTGTGTGTATGGCAATTTTAAAATATTTTTGCTATTCAGTTTTTGGGTTCCTTATGTTCTAGATATTAATCCTTTGTCAGATGTGCACCTTGCAGACATTTTCTCCCATTTGGTAGACTGGCTCTCCATTCTGTTGATTACTTCCTTCGATGAATAAAAGCTTTTTCGTTTGATAAAAACCTCATTTGACTACTTTTTCTTTGGTTTCTTGTGCTTTTGGGATCTTACAAAAATCATTGCCAAAGCCATTGTCTTGAAACATTTTTCCTATGTTTGGGGGACTTTTAAAAATAAAAGTGACTCAGCAGAGGCCATTATGAATAGCAAATTATATGTTTCTTAAATATGAAGTTTTATATTTTGATTTTTCTGAAATTTGTACATATCTATGTGTGGACAAGATGTCCCTGTAGATGTGAAGAGCTCTTCATTCCAGATGCCTCTCCATGCCTTATTTTTCAGAAAATAGAACAAAATAGCACATCTCAGATTAGTGGCAGGGTAGGGACTCAACCCTAGATCTCTTACCTC